ATAAGAGACCCACAATTTCATGTATAATCCTCTCTTTCTGTTCTACTGTATATCTATCTATATATACATATTTTACAGAATTTTTTTTAATGGAGAGGAAAAAGCCTCGATGTAGTTCATGTAGCAAAATAATAAAATAGGATTAAGAAATTTTTTGAAAGATAGAAATTACCACTGCGGCACACTTGTCTAAAATTTAGCAACTTTCATGAAATAAGAGTTATTGACATTTGAAGCCAGGTACCTACACTCAAATCCTGGTTTGAAAAGGGGTGTGTGTGTGTAATGTTTGTCAATTGGAGAATGGATGAATAAATTATCTTATATGAATGTAATGAAATAGCATTGTGATATCAGAAATGATGAAAGGTATGGTTTCAGAGAAACCTAGGAAGACTTGTATGAACCGATGCAGATTAAAGGGTGCAGAACCAGGAGGACAATTTATACAATAACAATAGCATTGTTAAGACAAACAACTTTGAAAGGACTAAGAACTCTTATCAATGCAATGACCAGCCATGAATCCAAAGGACCAATGATAAGGCATGCTACTCACCTTGCATCTAGGTGGTGCAGTGGATAGAGCACTGGCCCTGCAGTTAGGAGGACCTGAGTTCAAATCAGGTTTCAGACACTTGACACTTACTAGCTGTATGCCCTGAGCAAGTCACTTAACCCTACTGCCTAGGAAAAAAAACCCAAAAAACAAAAAAACCACAAAGAGGTAGTAGACTCAGGGTGCAAAATGAGACATATATTTTTTTGACATGGCCAATGTGCAAATTCATTTTGCTTAACTATATATACATAAGGGTTTTGCTTTTGTTTTTTCAATAAAGGGAGATAGAAGGAAAATAAAATAATGCTTATTAATTTTTAAAAGTATTAGAAGTAGGGCTCAAACCTAGGTCTTCCTTATTCTAAGGTCAGCCCTCTAATAACAATAGCTAGCATTGATATAGCCCTTTTATGTTTGCAAGGTGATTTACAAATATCTCATTTTATCTTCACAACAGCCCTAGAGGTAGGTGCTATGGTTATCCCCATTTTACAGATGAGAAAACTGAGGCAGGCAGTTTAAGTGACTTGCCCAGGGTCACATAGCCAGTGTCTATGATCACATTTGAACTCAAGTCTTCCTGATTCAGGTCCAGGGATCCACCTTCTCCTCGAGCTACTCTGATAATCTATTAGCCATCCCCTGCTGCTTCTCTGTTCCCTTAGTATGAGGCATTAGAATATGTTATTATGTAAAAATGAAAGCGTCACTGTTTTTGTACTCTGCCGGTTGCAGATACTTGTCTCTCTCCCTGCCCCACCAGTACCAGGAACTTCTGGGTAATAGCCTCCAAAGGCTTCTCTCTTGCTGACTTTCATATGGATATAGAGAAATACCAAATCAATTACATTCCATTAAATACTGATTTGGTATTATCTATGTGACTCTTTGTCATTCTATAAATTTGCCTCCCAAAAAGGGTCATGGAATGTGCAACATTTGCATGAAGAAAATGTGTACTATTCCAAGACTTGTTGGATCTCAGGTGGTACTTGACCTATATAGGTAAACATAGGTATATGGTTTTTAAATGGGGCCACTTATAAGTGGGCCAGTAGTCCTTCAAGTAAAGCTTCTTAATGACTAATTAGCTGTGAGTTCGTTACTCACTCATGTTCCCAGGTCCCCAGAATTAAAGGGGAGCTGTGAAACATAGTTAGGCTTTGTTATGAGCTTTGAGATCATCTTATGAAATATACACTATGAAACCAAACTGTAATAAGTGACATTATTGTTTGTTTGATTTGCTTTCAGGATAGGATTCCATGGCTTTGCAACTTACATGACATTTTACTGAGGTAAGAAAATAGTTGGCCAATGATGTATGCCCACTGTAAAAGCATAAGTATAGAAACCACATTAAAAGATTAACTAATCAGTAATAAAACATCCCATTGATCAGCCATTCTCAAACTTTTTTGGTGACATCAAAGAACTTTTGCTTATGAGGGTCATATAAATAATATCTTTGTATTATTATGAAAATAGTTTTGACCTCATTAGATTCACAGAAAGGGTCTCAGGTACCCCTGGGAGTCTTTATACCATACTTTGAGAACCATTTTTCACAACTACCCTGAGAAAGCGGTGCAATTATTATCCCATTTTCCAGAAGAGGAAACTGAGGCAGACAGCATTTAAGTGACTTGCTCAGGGTCACACACCTGCTAAATGTCTGAGGCTGGATTTGAACTCAAGTCTTTCTGACTCCAGGCCCAGCATTCTATCCACTGTGCCACCTTACTGCTTATATGACTATAAACTAATGACCCTGGTTTTATGTAGTGCTTGTAGGAATCAGCATCTTGTACACTAATACTTCTTTCTGTTCCCAACTCAAATAAAAAACAAAACATATTTGATACAGATGTTTAGACATGATACATTATAGCATATAGAGGACACTTATCCATGTGAGGATTGGTAGGAGGGACTAAAGATGTTTAGCCTGGAAAAAAGATCTGGGAATATGGAATATGGGGCTACATAAGCAAAGCCTTCAAGTGCTTGAAGGAGTATTATATGGAAGAATTAAATTTGTTTTTCATTGCCTTAGAGAGCAGAACTAGGAACTAATGAGGAGAACTTACCAAGAGGCAGGTTTTAGCCTGATAGAAAGCCAAATTTCCCAACAGCACTGTCCAGAAAGTGCCATGGACCACTTTGGGAGCTAATCTACTCTATTGAAAGCCTTTAATTCCCAATTGATAAATGGTCAAAGGATACGAATAGGCAGTTTTCAAAGGAAGAAATTAAAGCTATATAGTCATAGGAAAAAATACTGTAAATCACTATTGATTAGAGAAATGCAAATCAAAACAACTCTGAGGTACCACATCACACCTACCAGATTGACTAACATGACAAAACAGGACAATGATAAATGTTGGAAAAGATGTGGGAAAATTGGAACACTAATGCATTGTTGGTGGAGTTGTGAACTAATCTAACCATTCTGGAGAGTAATTTGGAACTATGCCCAAAGGGCTATAAAACTGTGCATACCCTTTAACCCAGCAATACCACTTATAGGTCTGTATCCCAAAGAGATCATACAAGTGGGAAAAGGACCCACATGTACAAAAATATTTATAGCAGCTCTTGCTGTGGTGGCAAAGAATTAGAAATTGAGGGGATGCCCATCAATTGGGGAATGGCTGAACAAGTTGTGGTATAAGAATGTAATAGAATACTACTGTGCTTTAAAAAATGATGAGCAGGCAGACTAGAGAAACCTGGAAAGATTTACATGAACTGATGCTGAGTGAAATGAACAGAACCAGGAGAACACTGTACACAGTAACAGCCACATTGTGCAATGACTGACTTTGATAGACTTAGCTCCTCTCAGCAATGCAAGGATCTAAGACAATTCCAAAAGACTCATGATAGAAAATGCTATCCACATCCAGAGAAAGAACTATAGAGTCTGAATGCAGATGGAAGCATACTATTTCCTCTCCTTTCCTTTTGTTGTCTTGTTTTATTTCTTCTTTCTAGTGGTTCCTCCCATTAGTTTTAATTCTTCTTTACATCATGACTAATGTGAAAATATGCTTAATGTGAATGTATGAGTAGAGCCTATATCAGATCGCAAGTTGTCTTGGGGAGGAAGGAAGAGTGAGGGGGAGAAAATTTAAAACTCACAATCTTATGGAAGTGAATGTTGAAAACTAAAAATAAATTAATTAATTATTAAAAAAGAAAAAAAAAGAAAGCATTTAAGCAAAGACTCGTTTATAACAACCAATTGTTTATAAAGGGGGTTTTTGTTTGGGTGTTTTACTATATGACTGTAGAAATGTTGGTCAGGCTATGTAAGGAAGTACTTATTTTTATTAACATGAGTGGGATATTATATGTACCTAATTACCATGCAGTATAACCATTGTGCTGATCTTTAAGTCCGTGCTAGATCAACTTTGTTGTAACTTTTATTCAGTTACAACACAGAACAGTACCTGCACAGGGGTTTTTCAAACAGCCTGCTGGTCTTTAGATAAAAGCAGAAATGTCATCAGTGACTTCAGTGGTGTGGGGTACTTCCTCTACCAATGCAACTTAGTACCTTCTCTTCAACATATATGGTCTTGAAGAATTGTCTCAAAGGTTAAATGACATGCCGAGGCTTCCACAGTGCCATGCTGCCTCTTCTTTCTGCTTCCAACTTTGAAAAAATCAAAGGGTACATTGCTTATTACCCTCTCTTAAAAAAAATTCCAAGCATATAGTTTGCCTCTGAAACAGCTAGGGGGTAAAGTGGACAGAGCTCTGGACTTGGGAATCAGGAAGACTGTGCAAATCTGGCTTTGGATTTGGGAATCAGCAAGACAGTGCAAATCTGGCTTCAGACACTTAAGAGCTGTGTAGCCCTGCTAAATTTCTTAACCTGTCTGCCTCATTTTCCTCAACTGCAAAATGGGGATGAGCTAGAAGTCAGCAACTATATTCCTCTGATGAGGCAGAAGACCACCAGCCTTACCATTTGCCCTGCTAGTACATCCTAAGGTATCTCGACGCCCCCGCCCCCCCACAATGCCTCTAAACCCTTCTGACCCCTGCAGCTGCCTTCTAACCTAATGATGTAGCCTTTTGGTCCCTGAGCATTGCAAATAGTTCTAGCGTTGCACCCGTAGATTTTCCAGGCCTTTCCATCCACCTGACAGCTAAACTTTGTTTTATGTGTTATTTCCCCCAATTAGAATGTAATGTCCTTGAAAGCAGGAACTGTATCACTTTTGTTTGTTTGTAGCCCCAGTACTTATCAGTGTTTGGCACATAGTAAATACTTATGAAAGCTTTTCCAATCACATAACCCAAATTGCTTCAAAAAAATAAAAAAATACCAGTCAAAAGGTTAAGTAACTAGGTAACTCACCAGAACTAGAAGTCACAGAGCAGGTACATCATCTACATTAGTTGAAGAAGCTCCCCAAACTGATTAAATAATGGGTCCAAACACCAACAACAAAAATTCAGAGGTTAAGTCTCTCTTTTCTCCTTCTTTCTCCTGCCCACCTCTGACCATTTCCTTGCATTTTCCATCATTACCATAAAACAGGATAAGGAAGAGAGAAACTGAGGGGTTAAAATCAAATAAACATTGCTGGTCATGAATGGTTTGGTAGAAGGCAGTCACTGCAAAATCAATTAGGTTTTTGTATTCCCAATGAACTCCATGAACAGAGACATTTGTTAAGAGGCTGTACATAAAATGCAGGGGCATCAATTCCTTGAATATAGTGGGCAGAGCACTAGCCTTGGATTCTATAAGACTCAAGTTCAAATCTGCTTCAAATACTGCTGTGTGACCCTGGGCAAGTCACTTAACCTATCTATGCCTTAATTCCCTAATCTGTAAAATAAGGATCATGATAGCACCTTCCTCATAAGAGTTTTTGTGAAGATCAAATGAAATGATACATGCAGTGCTTTGCAACCCTTAAAATTCTATATAAAGGTTCGCTATTATTATTCTAAATCATGTCTTTGGATGTGGTTTCAATCCAGTGATAAGCAAATGAAATTAAAAGTCACATATTGCAGATCCTACTGGCTTCTCCTGATGTCCCTTCCCGCACACCTTATTTTATTTTATTTTATTTTTTAAATAGAAATGTGTCCTCAGGTCAAAGTGTGGTCCTTGCCTGTTCTGCTTTGAAGCAAATGTACAGAAATATCTTAATGAGAGGAGAAGGTGCTGCAACTCAGAAGAATGATGAGCCAGGAGAGAAAGAAGGGTTCCCAAAGCTGAAGCTCCTTGTGGTCTATTTGAACGGGTCTTTTGAATTGATCTCTGGGCGTTTAGCCAAAAGAAAAGGACATTTTATGCCACCAGAGTTGCTACAGTCCCAGTTTGACACTCTGGAACCCCCATCGGCACCAGAAAACTTTGTGGCACTTAGCGTGGACAGAAGTGTCTCAGAAATGATTCCTTTTATTGTGGACAATATAAAAATGAAATGAGAACCGTTTCAGACAAACCACCAGATCTGAATTAGACATAAATAATCATTATGTCAAATCTCCATTAAGGCATTCCTACTTATAAAATATCTTAATTTTCTCCTCTGAATGTCAGTTCTACGGTGTACTGGAAGTTGCTTATAATGCCTTTCAAAAAATATCAGAATTGTTTCCCAAAATACTTTCCCTGACACCTCCTAATCAAATCCTCCCTTATGACAAAGAAGTGGGTGAAACCCAGCCAACAAAGTGACTACATCTAATGACATATGTCGCATTGCATACCCATAGCTCTCCACCACTCTACCAGAAAGGGGAAGGTATTTTTCCTTCTTTCTTCTCAAAAATGAAAATGGGTTTTACTGAGTTTGGCAGCAGTTTAGTGTTTGTTTTTAATTGGCATTATTGTAGTCATTGTGTATTTTGTTTTCTGGTTCTATTCTCTTCACTCTGTATCAGTTCACACAAATCTTCCCATGTTTCTCCAAATTCCTCCTATTCATTGTTTCTTATGGTACAATAACATGCCTTTAAATTCCTTTAAGTCTGTTCATGTATTTTCCAATTGACGGGTGGCAACTGCATTAAAAGTTGTCTTACTTCCACAAAGAATATTGCAGTGAATATTTTGCTATATATGAGATCTTTCTTATTGTCCCTGCTGTCCTTGGAGTATAAGCCTCATAGACAGATGGCTGGGTCAAAGCGTATAAAGAGTGGAGTTGATTTTTCTTTAATAATCTTGGAAAAATTTACTATCTTGGCATAGTTTAAGTGATTTCCAGTGACTTTAGAGCTATCCTCTGATGCACTGGTAATGTTTGTGTGGGATCTGAGGATAGTTAAAATCAAAGTTTTAATTGGGATTTTGATTCCATCCATGATGACACTGATTAAAGCAAATTTCTTTTTTTTCTTTTTTTTTTTTTGGATAGGCAATCGGGGTTAAGTGACTTGCCCAGGGTCACACAGCTAGTAAGTATCAAGCGTCTGAGGCTGAATTTGAACTCAGGTCTTCCTGACTTCAGGGCCAGTGCTGTATTCACTGCGCCACCTAGCTGGCCCTAAAGCAAATTTCATTAAATATATTGGAAAACACTACCTGAAATGGAACAGTAAGTAGATGAGATAGATCACTGAGGAAAAGAATAGAGAGAAAAAAGCAAAGAACAGAATCTGAGGGGATGCCCACTTTTAGGGAACAGGAAGCAGTTACCAAAGAGGGAACACAAGGAGTGATCAAGTAAGATGGAGAACCGATAGAGAGGATTATCACAGGAGCCAGAAGAAGAATGAATGAATGGATAAATAAATGAACGAGAAAGCATTTATTTAGAGTTTACTGTGTGTCAAGCACTAGGGATATAAATACAAAAGCAAAAACAACCTGTCCCCTAGCTTACATTCTGTTAAGTCATTTTTCAGTTGTGTCCAACTCTCTGTGACCCTATTTGAGATTTTCTTGGCAGAGATACTGGAGTGGTTTGCCATTTCCTTCTCTGGTTCATTTTACAGATGAGGAAACTGAGGCAAACAGGATTAAGTGACTTGCCCAGGGTCATACAGGTAATAAGTATCTGAGGCCAGATTTGAATTCAGGAAGATGAGTCTTTCTGACTCCAGGCCTGGAGCTCTATCCACTGTGCCATATGGCTGCCTCAAGCTTACAGTCTCAGAGGGGGAAATTATGTATATTGGGGAATGGCAGTGAAAGAGGCCATAGGGAAGATGTCAACAGTGTTAAATACAGAAGAAAGGACAAAGAGGATGAAGACTGACAAAAAGCTATTGAATTTGTCGATCATGAGGAAGCTGTTTAGGCTGAAGCTGGTGATTGATAGTAACTTTCAGCAACTCATTCAACCTTCAGAGAGGCAGTGTGACTCAGTGGATAAGGTGCTAGAATTAGAATCAGGAAAACCTGACTTAGAATCCCACTTTTCTGAGGCTTACTTAACAGCCCAGCCCAATGAAGACTAAATGTTTAGGGAGCAAAAAAGTACCACTAGGACAGGGATCATAGTCTCCCATACATTTTTGATAAAACTAATTTCTGATTCACAGAAGCAAAAAACCAGAAGGACACAGTGGGAAAAGGCAATAAACTTGAATGTGAGGACCTGGATTTGAATCCCACCTCTTCCACTTACCTATTTGGTCTTGGACAAATTACTTAACTCCTTTGGGACTCACTTTGCTCATTTGTAAAATTAGGTTATTGAACTAGCTGGTTTCTGAGGTCCCTCTTCCAGCTCTAAATCATTGATACTACGATGATCAGAATGGCAAGGGAAAATGTTTCTTTTGACTCAGAAAGGGGAAAACTCTCTAGGGAAAATGAAATTATAGACAGATAATAAAATTCCTCAAGGGCTGAAACAGTTTAGTAACTATTAATTACTTACTAATTAGTTATAGCTGATGCTTAATTTTGAGGGAGAAAAATAACACCCAAATCAACCAACCACCACCATCTGACCAGAAATGATAAGTAGGAATTTGTCATTTGCAAGTCATACCCAGAAGAGCCAATAGTACGAACAACCCACACCTCACTAAACCACAAGGTGATATGGTAACTGTGTTTCTGGGAAAACGGGAAGAGAAAGAACAAGTGAATATTAAACCAAGGCAAATACTTTTTTCTAAAAGCAATTGTGTGACAACTTCAAACTGAGACAGGTGGTACAGTGGACAGAGCACTAGGTCTGGAGTCAAGCAGTCCTGAATTCAAACACGGCCTCAGATACTTAATAGCTGTGTGACCCTGAGCAAGTTACTTAACCTGTTTCCCCAACTGTAAAACGGGGATAACAGCATCTACTTTGCAGGGTTGTTGTGAGGATCAAAGGAGATATTTGTAAAGCACCTAGCAGAGTATTTATTGCTTTCCTGCCCCCCCAAAATAGAGGCAGCCATGAAGTCAAGGAAAGAACATAGAGTTAGGCATCAAGAATCTGGGTTCCAATTTCTTTGTGGGGGGGTGGTGGGAGGGGGAGAGGGAGAGAGGCAATTGGGGCTAATGACTTGCCCAGGATCAAACAGCTAGTTAAGTGTCCAATGCTGAATTTGAACTCAGATCCTCCTGGCTCCAGGACTGGTGCCCTATCCACTACATCACCTAACTGCCCCGCAACTTTGTCTCTAACCAGCTTTGGTTATGTCTTTGGATAAGTCATTGCACCTAATATTTTTCATCTGTAAAACGAGGAGTCTGGACTAGACTGTCTCTAAGCCCCTTTCACTTCCAGTATTCTGTGATTTAAGTAGATGAGCTTTTTTTTTTTTTTTTAACAATTTCAAGATTTGGGGCACACTATGTCCTATTAATCCCTCAAAGATGCATTGTGTTGTTGTCAAACCAGGGTCCTGAGTTACTGCTTAAAACTTGGGGTCTTGGGACAGCTAGGTGGTGCAGTCAATAGAGCTCTAGCCTTGAAGTCAGGAGGACCAGTTCAAATCCAGCCTCAGACACTTGACATTTACTAAGCTGTGTGACCCTGGGCAAGTCACTTAACCCCATTGCCTCACCAAAAGAACAAAAAACAAAAAAACTTGGGGCCTTTCTCTTTGGGTAAACAAAGCCAGAAGACAAGCCTTGCTAATACCCCTTGGCTATTCCAGGTCCTTTTACAAGAGAATGAATATGTGAGTCATGACCCCTGCACATGCATCTGGGCAGGGTCTAGCAGTCACCCTAAAAACAGTTGTTGACTTCTTTGTCAAGTACCTCCTCCCTCCCTCAACCCCAAACCCATCAGCAGTAGCTCATTTTCAGCTCAAGAAACACAGGCACAAAAATACAATGGCTTAGGTAAGTTGGGCATTCAATTAATAATCATTTATTATGTGCCTACTATGTGCCACTGTGCTAAACACTGGTAATGCAAAGAAAAGTAAAAGTCCCTGCTCTCAAAGAGTTTAGTCTAATGGGGAAAACAATATGCAAATAAATATGTACAGTAGGTAGATGACAGGCAAAAAGGCTGAAATAATTCAGTGTCAATGACAGACTAGAATTTAGGGTTTTCTGATGTGGAGTCAGAATACATCTATCTCCCAAAGTCACAAAGTAAAATCACTGTCACCATCATCATCATCAAAGAGAATAGAAAACCAGAATTTCTCAGGAGACAGGATGAAGTATGAGCAAACTCTGCCCTCTGGTGGCCCAAGTTAGTAGGTGGTTTACATTTAAAGATCTCTAAATGTTTTTCCTAACTTCCAACTGAAATTTGCCCCTATGTAACTTCCATCCAATGCACCTAGTTCGCCCAAAGTCTAATCTCCCTTCATGACTGCTTTCATGTTCCCTTCTAGACTTCCTTTTTAACCATCCCTCAAAGTCACTAAAGTTACAGTTTGTAAAGTTACAGTTTGGTTTAGGCTTTTTTAGATATTCATACATAGCTTGAGGTAGGCACCCAACCTGCCCTGCCCACATTTTCTACCTAGTTTTGGGGTAGATGAGAAACGGAAAAGAAGGAAAAATATGAAAGGAACTTAAGTTTAGGGTAGAGAGGGGGACAAATGAGAGAAATATAAGGGTGAAGAAAAGATGTGGGGTGAATACTCAAAAATGGGGGAGAACAGGAACTTCCAGGAGCCATCATCACTCTCCATTGACTCCAGCAGAACAAGCCTACAAAGGTGGGCACTGGGGCACAGACCACAAGTTAATGAAGATTAAAGGTACTGAGTGACCTTCCTGGAAGTGGGGAAGATCAGTCCCACCATTTCGCCTTCATGAGAATGGGAGAATTTATAGGTGTACATCTATTAATACTAGCTGACATCTTGTTCCTCAGATGCTCCATTGTTACAATGCAATAGGAGTTAGGAGACCTGGGTATTAGTACTAATCCTGACTAATTTGTTCATGGACTTTGACCTTTTTTGTTGCATGTTTTAAGTTCTGATGCCAATAACAGTCATTCCTCAGTAAGAGCAGCTAAGTGGTGGATGTGGATAAAGTGCCTGGAGTCAGGAGGGCCTCAATTCAAATCTGGCCTCAGATACTAACTCTGTGACCCTGGAGAAGTCACTTAACGTTCACCTGTTTGACTCAGTTCCTCCTCTGTAAATGAGCTGGCTGAAATGGCAAACCACTCCAAAAGGAGTCACAGAGAGTTATATACAATTGAAAGGACTCAACATTTCCCAAAACAACCTCTTCATTGTAACAAAGGAACACAGATAAAATCAATAAAGCCATCTTATGAAACGTTCTATGTTGTTCAGTTGTTTTTCAGTCATGTCTCACTCTGTGACCCCATTTGGAGTTTTCTTGGCAGATACTAGAGGTCTGCCATTTCCTTCTCCTGATCATTTTACAGAAGAGGAAACTAAGGCCAATAGGGTTAAGTGACTTGCCCAGGGTCATAAAGCTAGTAAGTGTCTAAGGCCAGATTGGAACTCAGGAAGATGAGTATTCCTAACTCCAGGCCCAGCACTCTAT